CGGAGGGGGCCCAGGTGCAGCGGCCGCCGCGCTGCGGGCCGGGCGGGGGCGGGAAGAACCTGTCCGAGCCATCCTCCTAGTCCTTGGGGCTCCAGAGGGCACCCGGCCTCCTCCCTTAGCCCCCTGGATTGCTCCAGAAGGCCAGGACCAGGCTGACCTTGGCACACGGCGAGCACCACATGAGTTTTGTTGTTGTTGTTTAGCTGGTGAAATATAAAGCAGAGAGCATAACACAGGAATGCACACCTTCAACTGGTCAACCTGACACCGGAGGCGGGGAGGGGGGCTCCACCCCCTAGACCAGTTCTCCCTCCTCTCCTACTGGTCACCTGCTTTGTTCACAAGTATTGTAAACCACCCCAGGCTGCGCCCAGCCCTCTTCTGACTCCACCCCTCCCTCCTTCCAGGAACCACTCCTCCTCTATCCTTAGCCACCATCAACCATGACTTTCACCTCCTTTGGTCAGGTGTTGACTAAGGAGGCAGATGCTGTGCAATTTTACAGTCTCTCATTTAATGTTTACAACCCTCTGAGGGAGGCCCTATTATTATGCCCAATTTTACAGATAAGTAAACTAAGGCAGAGGAGTGAGGTCATTCACCCAAGGTCACGCCGCCAGTCACCGGCAAGGCCAGTGTTCAAGGGCTGGATTTGCCTGACTTCCAAGACAAAGGTCTGTCTCTAGACCAGGTGTCCAGCTGCTACAGTACCTCTCCAAGGCCCTGGGATCAGCAGTGACCTTCTCCCTTCCCCACTCACTCGTCTTCTCCATGGCAGCTGTCTTTGTCAATTCAACCTCTCAATAGCTCCTTTTCGCCACTATTGTCACCTCTCCTTGGGCAGCTGCTGGAAGGACCCTTAGCTCCTCTCCCTGCCAGCCCAGCTTCCATTAATCCACTTTCCAGAGACTGCCAAGCCCTTCCATTTGTGCACGGCTATCAGTAAAAATTGTTAATCTCACACTCCCAATATGAGAATGTTTTTAGAACTGAAATATGCGAGCCACCGACATTTCAAAGCAGAGTGTACTTAAGACAAAGCTCGTCCGTCCTTAATGAGTGCGGATACAGATCCATTTTCAGTGCATTTTCGTCATCATTTCAGGGGTGTGTGTGTGTTGTCAACTTCTTGTTCAGCCTGATCAGCCAGATCACTGCTGCAGCCACAAAGCTCCCCTAATCCATGGAAGTGCTGGCTCCATCTTTTTCTTCTGATCTACTAGTGCTTGTAGCATTACCATTATCTTTAACTCTTGGTTTCTTGGCAGGAAACTTCATGTCACTTGTTCATTTGCGTGAGTTAGTTTAGCTAACCAGACTTTTTAAAAAGCTGTTAATTCCCTAAAACTGATAGTCAGAAACTGTACAAACCTCCATAGGCTGGTCAGGGTTGCTGTCCAGCTCTCTAGGTGGATCTTCCCACTCCCTCCTTGGCACCCACTTTTAGCTCATGACCCTCTGACCTACAGACTGAGGACCCCAGAGCTAACCCAAGGTATAAACAGTAAAGCTTAGTTTTTCTGTTCTTCCTGACAAGAGGTCACCCGATCATTCCCTCATTACCCTCCCGGACTCATGAACCTCACACCAGATCCTGTGGGAGCACTATCATTCCGCTTCCCGGAAAACAGGGGCAGAGCAGGGAAGTGGGCGCCCTCCAGGGCTCCCCTTGCCTCAGATAGAGTCCAGGCCTAACTGTGGAGTCTGCGCCCCCCTCCCATTTGCAGCTCTTTCCGTCTTTCCATCTGCTCAGCACCCTGCCTCTATTCTTATGGGGACAGCTGTCCTCTGGGAAACCGTTTCTCCCCACTCCTCACAGTTCTTGTGGCTCCCATCTCAGGAAGCCTCCACCCCTTCTAAGGAGAAACAAGGGGCATTCAAATGGCCCAAGTTCCAAAATCCAGACTCTTGAGCTGGACGTGCTCAGCTGGAGGGTGGGCCGGTAGGATGCCCCCACGCTGCGTCCGTCCTCTGCTCTGTGAGCTACTCAGTGTCCTTCCAACAGGCCCTTTCCCTTCTCGGGCCAGGGTGGGCCCTTATGCACACGACAGTGCCCTCACTCTCATGAGGCTGCAGGGCCCCCAGTAGGGCCCTGGACGCTTGGCGGTCTCACCTCACTTCCTGCCAGCCAGCTTCAGCTCTGCACTCATTCCCACAGCAAGCAGACCAGTCCTTCCTGAGGTCTGGAGGAAGCCTCCAAGTCTGAGACACTGGGTGTTTTCCCCTTCTCACTGCAAGGGGGCGCCCTCAGCCCCTGAGCCAGGGATAGTGGACAGACTCAAGATGGTTAACTCCTGCCATTTATTCCCAGAGACAGAAGGGCCAGTAGTGTTCAGACATAACCAGGTAGTTTGCTTTGATTCAAATGGCTTACAAAGCAGAGTCTCCTGAGCACCAGCCTGGTCCAGGGGACGAACTCCAGGGCCCAAAACAAGGAACCAGCTAATGATCGTGTCCACTTACGTGGAAAATTTCTGCACAATTAAAAAAATCAAAGCTGTTGAACCAGTGAAGAGGTAATAAGGTGTTTATTAAAAACTTTTCCACCCAGAGGCAGTTAAAATTTATAATTTAAAACCCAGCCCACTACAAAAAGC